AGTGCAATTGCAAGTACCTTAATTATAATTGTATTTTTAAATATATAGTATTAATGTCTTATAAATACCTACTCAATAGATTGTTTTTCATATCTTAGTGACTATATTGTTGTGTACAATTAGTGTATATTCAATTATATCATTGTTACAAGGGCCTTAACCTATCTTTTTATAAAACTATATATTGTCAACTTTAATATATATAACCAAATCAGATCTTACTGCCCAAATCAATTTATATCACTAGTGATTGCATAGTCATTTTAACTTCGTTTACATTATCTTTATTTAATTCCCTTATTTTTTCTTCTCTTCTTTTGTTTGTAGCGTACATAGCTTAAGTTCATATATTCATCAATTGTTAAAAATAATCAAGGTGCTATTCTCAGTGCTATAAGTAAATAATCAATTTATTGCCAATATATTCATTTATATGATTACCATTCTTTTTTGTTCACCACAAATTATTTTAGTCCCTTTTATATTGCCTCATTTTTTTTAGCTTTAAAGAGCTTAGTCCTTATCTCATTTTTAAAATAATTCAGGTGCTATTTATAGCTTAATGAATATTTACTTTGTCCTTATACTTAATTCTACTATGATTCATTATAAATCTTATGATACACAAGCATTTGATCCTGATACCAACCTCTTAATTTAATGATCTTATATGAATCAAACAGTAACTGTAATTACTAGCAACATGCAAACAATCAAAGGCACTTTCTCAGAAGCAACAACAACATAACTCTACTTTAACTACAATATCAGATAAATCAACAGAAAGGCAATACTACCGTGACTGGAACCGTAACCAAATAACCTGCACATAAAAAGATAGCTATACGAAACACATTCCGTCCGACTTGGACCATTTAACAAAGTCTCACTAACCAGAGGGAGCAGACGGCTATACATAGGCAGGAAGAAGTGGTGGTAGTAGTAGTAGTAGTGGTACAAGAATGGTATATAATACCTATATATAGCCATCCTGCTCCACCTCTGGTTAGTGTGACTTTGTAAATGGTCCAAGTCGGACCGAAACGTCGTCGTAAGCTTCTCTCTTTTATGTGCAGGTTATTTGTGTACAATATCAGATCTTTAAGTAAACATTACGATGACCTCATAGCATTACTAAATTCCCTGCATGCCAGTATGTCCATCATTACTCTCACCGAAACCTGGCTAAAGCCTGATACTACAGATGTCTATGCCATTCCTGGTTACACAGCCATACACAACTGTAGGCCAGACCAACAAGGGGGTGGCACAGCTATATACTACTCAGACCAACTAGAATGTATCACTAATACTTGCACAAGGGATGAACATGGGGAATATATAATAGCTAAATTCAAATCCAAATACCTACAAAAACCTCTCACAGTGATAAACATCTACAGAGTTCCACAATCAAACATTAGCCGTTTTAGTGACAACCTAGGAAGTATGATAACTGATGCACGCATGAACAAAGATCACTTACTACTCTCCGGTGACTTCAATATAAATCTCCTGCAAGACCAGGACCCACATGTTACTGAATTCACAAACACAATGAGTAACTGCATGTTGCTACCAACAGTAACAAAACCTACAAGAGTTACAGAGACTAGTGTTTCCCTACTAGACCACATCTGGACCAACACCATATCCCCCTTAAATTTTCTAGTGCTAAAACCCAAACAATTACTTTCACCAGACGTTCAATCGTCCCTGATACTCCATTGTACCTGTATGGCTCATGAATCCCTGAATGTGATACGGTCAGATTTCTCGGCCTATTGTTTGATTGCTAGTTGCATTGGAAACCTCACATTACCTCCCTGAAAGTAACTTGCCATAGCCAGGTGAACATCCTTAAAACCCTCACTCATCTTTCATGGTGGGCAGATTGTCAAACTCTCCTTCAACTGCTTTCAGCCCTAATTTTATCGAGGCTAGATTATGGTGACAAAATACATTCTGCGGCCTCTCCTGCAACTCTAAACTTGATCCCATACATCATCAGGGATTACGTTTAGGTGCTTTTCGCCCCTCACGTGTCGAGAGCCTCTATTCAGAAGCAAATGTCCCATCCTTGAACAATCATTGTGATGCTCATTGCCTCCGCTATTTTGTCTGCTTTCGTGACATTCACGATCCTTCAATATACAAGGTAGTAACGAACGTTAGCAAAAGTCCATCATTTGTTCGCTGCCCCTGTTTACTCTGTCCCTTTTCTCTGTATTCAATCGCTGTCTTCTCTTCAGTTGCCCCCTTTATATGTTCATCTACCATCTAACTTTTCACTTTCCCCTTGGGCAGTTCCGACAGTTCGTGTCTGTTCTTTTCCCTGCCGTGCCAGAAAATTCAAATCCCTACAGTTGCTTCTCGCTCTTTTTCTTAATCACTTCCAATCTCATTCTCATGCTGTTGCAATGTACACTGATGGTTCTAAATCCTCTGATGGTATTAGGTTTGCCAGCAGTTTCCTGACAATGTGGTGCGAGGTCATTTATTAGACTCTGCTAGCATTTTTACAGCTGAATTGTATTCCATTCTCATTGCAGTTATCCATATTACCTCTATGCCTATTTCAAAGTTTGTGATAGTCTCAGACTACTTTAGTGCTTTGCAAGCTATTAAAAAAGTGATTCGCCTTATCCCCTAGTTCTTTGTATACAACTTTGGTTATGCCACATTACTAGCAAAAATAAAGAAATCATTTTCTGTTGGGTCCCTGGCCATGTTGATGTTCAGGGCAATGAGCAGACACACACTGATGTGTGATCTGCAGTATATGACCTACCAGTTTCATATAGAGACAGTATTTCATTCTTTGACTAATTTGCTGTAATCTCTACCCGCCTTTGCAACCGCTGGCATCAACACTGGTCTGATATGACTCATAACAAATTACATTCTATCAAACCAAGTTTGGGTTTCTGGCCTCCTTGCCATCGATACCGAGGTTGGGAGACAAAACACTTGTCTTCACATCGGACACACACCTCTAACTCATGGGTATCTCATGGAGAGATGTCCTGTTCCACTTTGTGAGAATTGTCTAGTTCCTATTTCAATTTCCCACATTCTGTTGGACTGTCCTGTCTATCAACGAGCACCCAGAATTTTCCTCCGTCGTCATCACTGCTCTAATTTTCCCTTCTTGCTGACGGATCCACCTTTGACACAGACTCCCTCTTCGACTTTTTGGCAGTAACTGATTTATTACACAAACTTTGATAATCCTTCCTTTAGCACTCCTCACAGCCCCTCCTTACTTTACCTTTATAGTCATCTCCACCCTTATTTATCTTTAGATCCTGCATCAACTCCTACCCTGCAACACTGTATGGCCCTAGTAGGTTGAGTGCTTCTTTTTCCTGGTTAGAGGAAAGTGGGTGTGGGAGGGAAGAAGAGCGATTGGTGGAATGGTGTAAAGAGAGTAGTCAGGGAGAAAAAGTTAGCATATGAGAGATTTTTACAAAGTAGAAGTGATGCAAGGAGGGAAGAGTATATGGAGAGAAAAAGAGAGGTTAAGAGAGTGGTGAAACAATGTAAAAAGAGAGCAAATAAGAGAGTGGGTGAGATGTTATCAACAAATTTTGTTGAAAATAAGAAAAAGTTTTGGAGTGAGATTAATAAGTTGAGGAAGCATATGGAACAAATGCATTTGACAGTTAAAAACAGGAGAGGAGAGTTATTAAATGGAGAGTTAGAGGTATCGGGAAGATGGAGGGAAGGAGAAACTTGGTTATTGTGTGGTTTACAATGTAGTAAAATACTAATTACAGAGGGTACCACTAGAACACCTAGCATGGCTAGGCATTTCGGGCAGACTTAGATTAATTCTTAAATTTAAAATACTGTATTACAAATTATGAGGTAAGTTGGTATTATGGCTAAGTGACTAAATACTAGTTTGTGAGTTTAGCAATGTGAATGCTTTTGTTTTGGCACAGTACATAGTTTCAGTATTGGAGTATCGCAGGCCAACTTATGACTAGTTAGAATTCATTATTTTAAGACTGAGATTGATATTTCTGTTTATGGTCAAATGGGTGAGTGAGTGTAAGTGTGAACCACCAGGTGGTATTCGTGTAATTAGTTGACAGGGTGTATCAGGGAGATAAGTTGTTTTCTAACGGTAGTTTTGAAGGTGATGAATGTGTCTGCAGTTCTAGACTTCTCAGGTAGGGTGTTCCAGATTTTAGGGCCTTTGACATACATTGAATTTTTGTAAAGGTTTAGTTGGACACGGGGAATGTCATAGAGATGTTTGTGTCTGGTGTTATGCCTGTGGGTTCTGTCACAACTATCAAGAAAGCGCTTTAGGTCAAGGTTAATATTGGAATTTAAGGTCCTGTAGATGTAGATTGCACAGTAGTAAGTGTGGATGTACTGAACAGGGAGTAAGTTTAGATCTATGAAGAGTGGGGGGGGGGGTGTTGCCAGGGATGGGATTTAGTGATTATTCTTACTGCAGCTTTTTGTTGGGTTATTATTGGCTTTAGGTGTGTTGCTGCAGTTGATCCCCAAGCACAAATAGCATAGGTGAGGTATGGATAAATGAGTGGTATAGTGTGAGAAGGGCATTTTGCGGCACGTAGTATCGTATCTTGGAGAGGATCCCAACAGTTTTGGATACTTTTTTGGTTATGTGTTGGATATGGGTGCTGAAATTCAGGTTGTTATCGAGGTATAGGCCTAGGAATTTGCCCTCATTATGTCTGACAATTAGAGTGTTGTCGATCTTAATGTTAATTTGCGCAAGTCCTGCTCTGCTACCAGTGTTAAGCGTAAGCTTATTTTACTCAAAACTAGAAACATCAGCATGGTGCCACTACTCAGTTATATCTGATAGTCACTGGGAAGAAAAAGTTAGCTATGTTTCCCTATCATAATTCATCACACAGGATGAGTTTGTCCTGACTTAGAAGTTAAATGTACAACATAGTGGACTGTGACCCTGAGCTGCGAGACTTCAGCAGGACATTGAAGATATATTGTCGTACCTTCAGAGCGAAGATGATGAACAGGTTACTGAAGTTGAAGCTGTATACTGTAGACTGTCTGCCCAGCTCCATGATGCCCTCGTACATGGCTGCCCCTGGCGAGTGTACCTCTTCATCCCATGCCCCACTCCATGACGCTGCTGCCCACGCCTTGCCCTCTCGTGCCCACACATCGCCCTCTCCTGCCCACGCCTTGCCCTCTCGTGCCCACACATCGCCCTCTCCTGCCCACACATCGCCCTCTCCTGCCCACGCCTTGCCCTCTCGTGCCCACACATCGCCCTCTCCTGCCCACACATCGCCCTCTCCTGCCCACACCTCGGCCGTCAAGCACGCCACAGCTACACTTAGTAACGCTGACATTCCCATCATTTTCGTGTCTGTAGAAAGAAACAGAATAAATATTAAGGAGAGTTACAGCAAAATATTTTTAATACTTTTTCTATTTCAAAATATTTCAGCTTATAATGACATGAAAAAATCAAAACAAATCTTACAATATGGAACAAAACTAAAAAAAAATATAAAAAATCAAGAAACACACACACAGTAGCGACCAGTGAAAAGGCGGGGCCAGGAGCTATGAATCAACCCCTGCAACCACAACTAGGTAAGTGGCCCGGTGGCCTGGTGGCTAAAGCTCCCGCTTCACATACGGAGGCTCCGGGTTCGATTCCCGCGGTGGAAAATCGAACCTTTCTTACACCTTTGTCCTGTTCACCTAGCAGCAAATAGGTACCTGGGTGTTAGTCGACTGGTGTGGGTCGCATCCTGGGGGACAAGATTAAGGACCCCAATGGAAATAAGTTAGACAGTCCTCGATGACGCACTGACTTTCTTGGGTTATCCTGGGTGCTAACCCTCCGGGTTAAAAATCCGAAACGAAATCTATCTTATCTTATCTTACACACACATTGTAAATACGAACAAGTGGTACTGATCATTAACAACACTGCGACTAGCCAAGGACTCGAACCCATGTTATTTTGGCCCGCCTCATAGTGAGAGAAAACCAAATGAAGCTCTAAACTAATGAACGTGAGGACGTACATGTGACGCAGAGAGCGTGAACACTCAAGCTCTGCACCTCCTCCATTACTTAGTGCAAAATTCCACAACAATACGACTCAGCGTCCGTCCTTCAACAACATTCCTCCTCTCCCACGTCCCCAGGTTCCCCAGTACCAGTACGTCCTCCCCAAACAAGGTGGTGGGAGCAGACCCACCATGACACTAGTCATGGTATAACCGCAATTACACCGCTTCCACCACCCCCCTCCCCGTCCATGATGTGGGTCACTATGCTTCCTTTACGGCGTCATAATTTAACAAAGATCTGTGGCAGGAGACACTAGTCCTGCCTCCTTAACCACCACACCGCCTCGTTCAGCCTTATATCCTACCTACCATCCTCTGTTCCCCCTTCCTTCAACCTTACCTGCCTAACTTCAACATTTCCTTTGCAAGAAAGAGGAACGAGTACAGGAGGCATAAAAGACTAAGAGTGTTTTAATGATGATACTGTAGTTACTCACAGCCATTATCTCTCACACATGTTTAAAGTTATACAAATTACTTGGTTCGGTGACGCTACTTGGCAGTTTGATCCTCATAACTTTGCTCTTAAGCCAGTTCTTTCGAACATTATTTCTAAATCTAAATGTGTCCAGTTTGGATCCATTGCTAGGGAATCTGCTTTGGTTAGTGTTTTTCACAATCGTATTTATATTCTTATCTGTTCCTCTCTCTTTCTCATATTTATCTCTCATACCTCCTTCCCAGTTCTACGTCCTGTGTACCAGCATCATGACAGTGCTGCTACGCCCCGTGTACCAGCATCATGACAGTGCTGCTACGCCCCGTGTACCAGCATCATGACAGTGCTCTTATAGCCCCGTGTACCAGCATCAGACATTTGTTACGCCGTGTACCAGATCATGACATGCTGCTACCCCGTGTACCAGCATCATGACAGTGCTGCTTAGCCGTGTACAGCATCATGCAGTGCTGCTACGCCCCGTATACCAATCATGACATTGCTGTACGCCCCGTCTACTCGTCATACTATGCTGCTACGTCCCGTTGTCCGCGTTCATGACAGTGCTGCTACGCCCCGTGTACCGGCGTCATGACAGTGCTGCTACGTCCCGTGTACCGGCGTCATGACAGTGCTGCTACGTCCCGTGTACCGGCGTCATAACAGTGGTGCTCCAGTAATCTACAAATAACTGGGGCTAACACATGACTGAGTAGTTCCTGTATGTCAGTAGGGCCGTGACTCGCCTCAGGCTCAACGGAAGCCACGAATCTGCTATACACAGAACCACTTGGGCCACTCACCATGTGTAGAGGAGAGATGCAGGGAGGAGTAAAGAAAAGAGGTGTAGAGCAGGGACGGGAAGAAGTTAGGGGCGCCAGGTGTAATGCAAAAAGATGTAGGGCAGAGACGGAAGAAGACACACAGTGGCACCTCGTAACACAATGGTTCGAGTGCTCGACTCACACCTGAGAGGATGTGGTGTTGAACTCTACCTACTACCAGGTGAAACCTTTTGGCAAGTCTTCTAACACTAGCTGTTTTTACTTAACAGTAAATAGACACCTGGGAGTTAGTCGACTTGTGTGATTCATCCTGAAAAAAAATCAGTGGAAATAACCTACACTGACTGGGTTATTCTGAGTTAATAATGATCTTAGTAAGGTTTTAGCTAGGAAAATTTTTTTATTATTATAATCAAGGGGAAGCGCTAAACCCGTAGGATTATACAGCGCCTGAGGGGGGATGTGGAAGGTATTCAGGTATAATTCAGGGAACTGGAGAACACATCCAATTCCCTTGATCAAGAGCCCCTCACCAGCATCAAAGAACCTTTCTAGAGGGGGCGCAAGGGAAAGAGAGTCTGGGACTTACGGATCAGAGATAATTGGTAAATACATTGCTATTGACTTGAGATATATTTATAAACAGTGTCCTAGACAGCACATGCACTCGCACGATCCAGGAAATGTAGTTTCCTACCAATGTAGGTGACCCAAAGAAGAAAGTACATTCATCACTACCTAGCCATACTGCCAAGATAACACTGGAATTACAAACCTTTCCTTTATCTAAGTATTACCAGGTACTTCAGTGGAACGACAGATCTCAAATCCCCTTCCTTACTTTCTGTCTTGCAATAAAAACTGTCATGCATAATGCTAGCTACACTCAACATATTTCATCATATATAATTCTTATACCTGATGCCCACGTTCAGTTAATAGTACATATGTACTTGGGTATTAGCGTACTTTTGTAGGGACATCTTGGGTATGTTGGGAGGGAGACTATGGTAGAAGTAAACCCTTCATTTAACGTGTTAATTGGAGGGAGCGGGTGGCCAGTAATGGTATTTGTGGTGAACGGATGAGAAGATTATGTGGCCGTGATTATAACAATAATGAACAATTCTGTGACAAAAGGGCTTTGTCCATTGTTACTAAATCTATTGACCCAGTAGATTTTGTTCCGTATTTCCGGAGGCCATTAAATGGAGGGTAGTACTTTAAGAAGATCTGACCTTTGAAATAAACTGAATTAGAACAGCTCTTAGCTATGAACTGAAGTGTATCAAAAAAAGGAGCCGAAGAGAAAATGGGAGGACGTTAAGCGAGGCTCCTGATGAACCAGCACGAAACAAAAACTTTAGTGGAAGGCGTCCAGGAAGTTACCAACCACATAATTACAGGAGCTTCTGCGTTCCTTGACTGTAGCTCCCTCCTTTCTGACTGTGGTTCCCTTCTGATTATGACCCCTTGCACCTCCTTAATTAACTGTGCCCTCCTTTTTTCTTTGGCTGTGGTTCCCTTGCTCTCCCTGACTGTCGCTCCCTTCATTCTCCCTGACTGTGGCTCCCATAATTCTCCCTGACTGACTCCATTCTCCCTGACTGGCTCCCTTCATTCTCCCTGTCTGTGGCTCCCTTCATTCTCCCTGACTGTGACTCCCTTCATTCTTCCTGACTGTGACTCCCTTCATTCTCCCTGACTGTGGCTCTCTCATCCTACCTTGTTTGTAACCCCCGTTGTTTCTCCCTGACTTCGACTAACTGTATTTCCATCTGAGCGTTGGGCGGAAGCTGATATATTTTTTTGGGCTTGCAAAATGGAAAACGTTGCCTAGCAGCAAATAGCTAGCTAGCAGCAAATAATTACCTAGCAGCTAAGAGATACCAAGGAGCATTAAATACTCTGCTGTGGGTCGCATCCTGAGGAGGTGTTGAAAAAATGTTTCCCCGTAGATATAAACCAGACTGCTTCTGACTTTCCTGGGTTATTAACCTTCTGTTGGTGGGGGTATTTTGTAATAAAAAACCGGGACGGTGTGTACCAGGTGTGGTAAAACACCCTCTCCCTGCAGGGACAAGATGCCTGCCAGGACAAGAGCCCTGCAGGAGCCCAAGATGCCTGCCAGAGACAAATGCCCTACCAGAGACAAGATGCCCTGCCAAAGACAAGATGCCCTACCAGAGACAAGATGCCCTGCCAGAGACAAGATGCCCTGCCAGAGACAAGATGCCCTGGCAGAGACAAGATGCCCTGCCAGAGACAAGTTTGCCCTACCAGAGAAAAGATGCCCTGCCAGAGACAAGATCCCCCTGCCAGAGACAAGATGCCCGCCAGAGACAAGATGCCCTACCAGAGACAAGATGCCCTGCCAGAGACAGATGCCCTGCAGAGACAAGATGCCCTGCCAGAGACAAGATGCCCTGCCAGAGACAAGATGCCCTGCCAGAGACAAGATGCCCTACCAGAGACAAGATGCCCTGCCAGAGACAAGATGCCCTGCCGAGACAAGATCCCCTGCCAGGGGACAAGATGCCCTACCAGAGACAAGATGCCCTCCCAGAGACAAGATGCCCTGCCAGAGACAAGATGCCCTCCCAAGACAAGAGCCCTACCAGAGACAAGATGCCCTACCAGAGACAAGATGCCCTGCCAGAGACAAGATGCCCTGCCAGAGACAAGATGCCCTGCCAGAGACAAGATGCCCTACCAGAGACAAGATGCCCTGCCAGAGACAAGATGCCCTGCCAGAGACAAGATGCCCTGCCAGAGACAAGATGCCCTACCAGAGACAAGATGCCCTGCCAGAGACAAGATGCCCTGCCAGAGACAAGATGCCCTGCCAGAGACAAGATGCCCTGCCAGAGACAAGATGCCTACCAGAGAAAAGATGCCCTGCCAGAGACAAGATGCCCTGCCAGGACAAGATGCCCTGCCAGAGACAAGATGCCCTACCAGAGACAAGATGCCCTGCCAGAGACAAGATGCCCTGCCAGAGACAAGATGCCCTGCCAGAGACAAGATGCCCTGCCAGAGACAAGATGCCCTGCCAGAGACAAGATGCCCTACCAGAGACAAGATGCCCTGCCAGAGACAAGATGCCCTGCCAGAGACAAGATGCCCTGCCAGAGACAAGATGCCCTGCCAGAGACAAGATACCCTGCCAGAGACAAGATGCCTTACCAGAGACAAGATGCCCTGCCAGAGACAAGATACCCTGCCAGAGACAAGATACCCTACCAGAGACAAGATACTCTGCCAGAGACAAGATGCCCTGCCAGAGACAAGATGCCCTGCCAGAGACCAAGATGCCCTGCCAGGGGACAAGATCCCTGCCAGAGCCCAAGATGCCCTGCCAGAGACAAGATACCCTGCCAGAGACAAGATGCCTTACCAGAGACAAGATGCCCTGCCAGAGACAAGATGCCCTGCCAGAGACAAGATACCCTACCAGAGACAAGATACCCTGCCAGAGACAAGATACCCTGCCAGAGACAAGATACCCTGCCAGAGACAAGATACCCTGCCAGAGACAAGAGACCCTGCCAGAGACAAGATACCCTGCCAGAGACAAGATACCCTATCAGAGACAAGATACACTGCCAGAGACAAGATACCCTGCCAGAGACAAGATACCCTGCCAGAGACAAGATACCCTGCCAGAGACAAGATACCCTGCCAGAGACAAGATCTCAGTAGTAGTAACCAGTTACCAGTAACCAGTGTACCGTTGACTCAACGACCAACCGTCTTTGCCTGAGTCGCCGAGCTCTCAGTAGTAGTAACCAGTTACCAGTAACCAGTGTACCGTTGACTCAACGACCAACCGTCTTTGCCTGAGTCACTGTCTGAACGTGCTGACCTGGTACTATTCAAAGACCCTCTATGGGTACGTGGGCGGCCAGGCAGTCAGTCAGTGATACGAGTGTGAGCAAGGAGATAGGTACGGCTGCGGGCGTTACACACCTTATCTGTAATTATACGTACTACCAGCCTACGTGAGTATTTCTTACCTAATCCACGTGTCGAACTCCCACATGATAAAGATACCTTGCCAAGACAAGATACCCTGCCAGAGACAGTACCTGCCAAGACAAGATACCCTGCCAGAGCAAAACCCTGCCAGAGACAAGATACCCTGCCAGAGACAAGTACCCTACCAGAGACAAGATACCCTGCCAGAGACAAGATACCCTGCCAGAGACAAGATACCCTGCCAGAGACAAGATACCCTGCCAGAGACAAGATACCCTGCCAGAGACAAGATACCCTGCCAGAGACAAGATACCCTGCAGAGACAAATACCCTCCAAAAAAGATACCTCCCAGAGACAAGATACCCTGCCAGAGACAAGATACCCTACCAGAGACAAGATACCCTGCCAGAGACAAGTACCCTGCCAGAGACAAGATACCCTGCCAGAGACAAGATACCTGCCAGGACAAGATACCCTGCCAAGACAAGATACCCTGCCAGAGACAAGATACCCTCCCCAGAGACAAATACCCTGCCAGAGACAAGATCCCCTGCCAGAGACAAGTTTCCCCTGCCAAGACAAGATCCCCTGCCAGAGACAAGATTCCCTGCCAGAGACAAGATACCCTGCCAGAGACAAGATTACCCTCCCAGAGACAAGATACCCTCCCAGAGACAAGATACCCTGCCAGAGACAAGATACCCTTCCAGAGACAAGATACCCTGCCAGAGACAAGATACCCTGCCAGAGACAAGATACCCTGCCAGAGACAAGATACCCTGCCAGAGACAAGATACCCTGCCAGAGACAAGATACCCTGCCAGAGACAAGATACCCTGTAGCGCTGAGTTACCTATGTTGTTTTACTTTGTATCGTATTTTTGTGAATGTTTTGTTAATGTATTTTGTCTTTAAATAAAATATGTATATATAATATAGGGGGTGGTAGGAGAAAATTCTCAAACAGCTTCAGGGAGAACCTTGAGTTTTCCCCTGAAGCAAGTTTATTGTTTTCTGAGGATGAGGGTCCCTATAATAGTTCTAGAACTTTGTCCTTGGAGGCAAAGAGGGGAATGTATGAGAGTATAGTTTTACCAACGCTCTTATATGGGTGTGAAGCGTGGGTGATGAATGTTGCAGCGAGGAGAAGGCTGGAGGCAGTGGAGATGTCATGTCTGAGGGCAATGTGTGGTGTGAATATAATGCAGAGAATTCGTAGTTTGGAAGTTAGGAGGAGGTGCGGGATTACCAAAACTGTTGTCCAGAGGGCTGAGGAAGGGTTTGTTGAGGTGGTTCGGACATGTAAGAGAGAATGGAGCCCAAACAGAATGACTTCAAGAGTGTATCAGTCTGAGTGGAAGGAAGGCGGGGTAGGGGTCGGCCTAGGAAGGGTTGAGGGAGGGGGTAAAAGGAGGTTTGTTGTGCGAGGGGCTTGGACTTCCAGGCAGGCATGCGTGAGCGTGTTTGATAGGATGAAAGGAGAAAAATGGTTTTTAATACTTGACGTGCTATTGGAGGTGAGCAAAGAAAAATTTTGAAGGGGGTTCAGGGAAACCGGCAGGCCGGACTTTAGTCCTGGAGATGGGAAGTACAGTGCCTGCACTCTGAAGGGGGGTGTTAATGTTGCAGTTTAAAAACTGTAGTGTAAAGCACCCTTCTGGCAAGACAGTGGGTGGAGTGAATGATGGTGAAAGTTTTTCTTTTTCGGGCCACCCTGCCTTGGGGGGCCAACCTGCCTTTGGTGGCCACCCTGCCTTGGTGCCACCTGCTTGGTGGCACCCTGCCTTGGTGGCACCCTGCCTTGGTGGCCACCCTGCTTGGTGGCCACCCTTCTTGGTGGCCACCTGCCTGTGGCCACCTGGCTTGGTGGCCACCCTGCCTTGTGGCCACCCCGCCTTGTTTGGGTATCGGCCGTGTGATAATAATTAAATATAATATATATATATATAAATATAAAATAAATATATATATATATATAATAATTATATATATATAGTGTGGTGTGTGTTGTTGTGTGTGTGTGGTGTGTGTGTGGTGTGTGTGTGTGTGTGTGTGTGTGTGTGTGTTGTGTGGTGTGTGTGGGGTGTAATTGGGAAAAAGTTGCGATAGATTACTATGTACACGAGCGTTGAAGTCTCGGTGTCTGGGTAGACACACTGCGGTGCAAAACACATAAACAAAAGTGAATATGTCTGTGATGTTAATAACACTTATAACATGGTTTCCGACGAACAAGTCTAAAGCTGAATAATATTCTGTAAAGTGAAGGAGAATAGAATTGGCTTGACTGCCAGCAGTAACAGCCTGGTTGATCAGGCTCTGATCCACCAGGAGGCCTGGTCACAGACCGGGCCGCGGGGGCGTTGACCCCCGGAACTCTCTCCAGGTAAACTCTAGGTAAACTACTTACTTGGAGCGGTGAAAGAGGCAGCAGTGTAGCGACCAGTATACTTCAGTGTTGCAGGAGGCAGCAGTGTAGCGACCAGTATACTTCAGTGTTGCAGGAGGCAGCAGTATAGCGACCAGTATACTTCAGTGTTGCAGGAGGCAGCAGTGTAGCGACCAGTATACTTCAGTGTTACAGGAGGCAGCAGTATAGCGACCAGTATACTTCAGTGTTACAGGAGGCAGCAGTATAGCGACCAGTATACTTCAGTGTTACAGGAGGCAGCAGTATAGCGACCAGTATACTTCAGTGTTGCAGGAGGCAGCAGTATAGCGACCAGTATACTTCAGTGTTGCAGAGGCAGCAGTATAGCGGACCAGTATACTTCAGTGTTGCAGGAGGCAGCAGTATAGCGACCAGTATACTTCAGTGTTGCAGGAGGCAGCAGTATAGCGACCAGTATACTTCAGTGTTGCAGGAGGCAGCAGTGTAGCGACCAGTATACTTCAGTGTTGCAGGAGGCAGCAGTATAGCGACCAGTATACTTCAGTGTTGCAGGAGGCAGCAGTATAGCGACCAGTATACTTCAGTGTTGCAGGAGGCAGCAGTATAGCGACCAGTATACTTCAGTGTTGCAGGAGGCAGCAGTATAGCGACCAGTATACTTCAGTGTTGCAGGAGGCAGCAGTATAGCGACCAGTAACTTCAGTGTTGCAGGAGGCAGCAGTATAGCGACCAGTATACTTCAGTTTGCAGGAGGCAGCAGTGTAGCGACCAGTATACTTCAGTTTGCAGGAGGCAGCAGTATAGCGACCAGTATACTTCAGTGTTGCAGGAAGGCAGCAGTATAGCGACCAGTATAACTTCAGTGTGCAGGAGGCAGCAGTATAGCGACCAGTATACTTCAGTTTGCAGGAGGCAGCAGTGTAGCGACCAGTATACTCAGTGTTCAGGGGCAGCAGTATAGCGACCAGTATACCTCAGTATTGCAGGACGCAGCAGTGCACGACCAGTAACTCCGTGTTGCTGGAGGCCAGCATATAGCGACCAGTATACTTCAGTGTTTGCAGGAGGCTAGCAATATGCGACCAGTATATTCAATGTTTGCAGGAGGCAGCTATAGCGACCAGTATACTTCAGTGTTGCATGGAGGCAGCAGTTATAGCCGACCAATATACTTCAGTTTTTGCAGGAGTGACAGCAGTGTAGACAGATATATTTCGTGTTGCAGAGGCAGCAGTATAGCGACCAGTATACTTCAGTATTGCAGGAGGCAGCAGTGTAGCGACCAGTATACTTCAGTGTTGCAGGAGGAAGCAGTATAGCGACCAGTATACTTCAGTGTTACAGGAGGCAGCAGTACAGCGACCAATATCCTTCAGTGCTGCAGTAGGCAGAGATGGTAATGACAGTATCCGTCAGCGTTACAAGGAGGAGCAGTGTCGAGACAATATCACCCAGTGGGTGTCAGCGCGGCAGTGAACATCTTGACTCCTAGACTTCCTCATTTATAGCTTCGACGTCACCGGGCCCAGAAATCTTCGTCGTGATGTGTTCCGGTGATTATCAGTACTTAGTTCTGCTTTTATCTTCTATAATATTGCCATAAACATTAGTTATGCACCATGAGGGCGAGTTCCCCCTCCTTCACATTCCTTCCTCCCTCAGTTCCCTCCTTCCGTCCCACTAGATTATTATGTCCAAAACTAAAAGATATATACACCGACAGATGTATATCTTTCAGTATATACATGATGAAAGTTTATTTAATCCCTGACTGGTGTGTTAACAGTTCATTACCTTTGTAACTTGTTCAGCTATCAAAACTTTGGGGCCCAGTCCCAGGACCCATTACGTACCTCTGTAATCTTTTTGACTACCACCCACACCACGGGTATGAGCTGCATAATAAAAATGTTAAACTAAACTGTGCTATAGTTTAGAATTTATAAATAACTGCTCTGACCTCACCTTCAACATGCTCACTAGTTCTCGTCACAGTTAACTTGAACACAAACTGTAGTGACTGTAGATAAGAGTAACAAGCTGTATCTATACGACACTGTAATGTATTTTATGAAGCAATAAACCCGTGTGGGTCATTCAGTGCAGCAAGTACTTGAGATACCATCTTCTCTCCCCTAATGGTGGCCCTTGTCTTTGAACATTCAAGCTGTTGGTGACGCCTCACCTTAGTTAAAAACAAACTATATATATATATATATATTATATATATATATATATATATATATATATATATATATATATATATATATATATATATATATATATATATATATATATACCGCGGAGTTGGGAGAGAGCCTTCTGCTATACTATTCTTGCCGCCTCAACTATCTAAAATAGAGGTAGACGGATTGTAGCTAGTTCTAAGTTGTTAGCCTCTTATCTTAGCGGGTCTTATATCCGCCTTTCCCAAATATTCATATACTTCCCTATATACATCCATTATTTAACTTCTTAGCAGTCCTCTTTCACTACCTTTCCCCTCTCCTTTTCTCTCCCTCCCTCCCTCCCTCCCTCCCTCCCTCCGTCCCTCCCTCCCCTCACTCCTCTCGCGTGTTTCTGACCACTAGCACATGACCCGACCCACATACACCACCACACAAATTGTCGAGAATGTAGGTAGTGATCTTGTACAACAAACATTGTCTCCCCACGTTAGTCACCCCGAGGAAGGTGGGGGGGGGGTGATATTCACTCCCCTCTCTCTCTCTCTCTCTCTCTCTCTCTCTCTCTCTCTCTCTCCTCTTCTCTCTACCTCTCCTCTCTCTCTCTCTCTCTCCTCACACACACACACACACACACACAAAGCTAGGAAGCAGAGAGAGAGAGGATCCAGTAGCGATCAGTGAAGAGGCGGGGCCAGGAGCTGAGTCTCGACCCCTGCAACCACAATTAGGTGAGTACAATTAGGTGAGTACACACACACACACACACACACATACCGGGGGTCGATCCCGGTACGGGTGGAAACATTAGGACGTGTTTCCTTAAGACACCTGCTGTCCAATTCACCTAGCAGTAAAACAGATACCCGGGTGTTAGTGGACTGGTGTAGGTCGCATCCTGGGACAAAATTGACCTAATTTGGGGAAAATGCTCAGCATAAGCGGCTTTCTATATAGTAGTATGTCATTGATGTCAGCTATGGTCTGTATACCTTGTACATGTACTTGTAGAAATAAAGATTTATTATTATTATTATTATTATTATTATTATTATTAAGATGGAAGTCTGGCAGGTTAATAAGCCTAGCATGGACAGTAACATAAGAATCTGACAACTGAAGGATACACTTGTGACGTAATGTTCCTTAATCACTGTAGTGAACAGTGACGAGTCTTCCGTCTGCACCACCACAATGGTTCTGCTCCTGTAAATACAAACACGAGTTTAGTGCGGCAGTAGCAAAAACAAAGCCTCATGAGGGGTGTAAGAGAGTAGCATTTCCCGTGCGCAGCAGCACATGTGCAACAGCCAATCAAGCGCCGTGCACTATATACTCTGAGGCCGTGCACTGTCTATTGAGACCGTGCACTATCTATTGAGGCCGTCCATTAACTAAAGAGGTCGTGTACTATCTAATGAGGTCGTGCACACCCTCGGTGTATATATCGTACCTGAGCTGCTGTTGTGAACACAGGCTATGGGACACTGCCAAGGACACAGGCTATGGGACACTGCCAGGAACACAGCCTATGGAACACTGCCAGGAACACAGTCTATGGGACACTGCCAGGAACACAGGCTATGGGACACTGCCAGGAACACAGGCTATGGAACACTGCATGGAACACAGCCTATGGGACACTGCCAGGAACACAGGCTATGGGACACTGCCAGGAACACAGCCTATGGGACACTGCCAGGAACACAGGCTATGGGACACTGCCAGGAACACAGGCTATGGGACACTGCCAGGAACACAGGCTATGGGACACTGCAGGAACACAGCTATGGGACACTGCCAGGAACACAGGCTATGGGACACTGCCAGGAACACACGCTATGGAACACTGCATGGAACACAGCCTATGGGACACTGCCAGGAACACAGGCTATGGGACACTGCGGAACACAGCCTATGGGGACTGCAGGAACACAGCCTATGGGACACTGCCAGGAACACAGGCTATGGGACACTGCCAGGAACACAGGCTATGGGAACACTGCCAGGAACACAGCTATGGACACTGCCAGGAACACAGGCTATGGGACACTGCCAGGAACACAGGCTATGGGACACTGCCAGGAACACACGCTATGGACACTGCCAGGAACACAGGCCTATGGGACACTGCCAGGAACACAGGCTATGGGACACTGCCAGGAACACAGCCTATGGGACACTGCCAGGAACACAGCCTATGGGACACTGCCAGGAACACAGGCTATGGGACACTGCCAGGAACACAGGCTATGGGACACTGCCAGGAACACAGGCTATGGGACACTGCCAGGAACACAGGCTATGGGACACTGCCAGGAACACAGCTATGGGACACTGCCAGGAACACAGGCTATGGGACACTGCCAGGAACACAGGCTATGGGACACTGCCAGGAACACACGCTATGGAACACTGCATGGAACACAGCCTATGGGACACTGCCAGGAACACAGGCTATGGGACACTGCCAGGAACACAGCCTATGGGGACACTGCCAGGAACACAGGCTATGGGACACTGCCAGGAACACAGGCTATGGGACACTGCCAGGAACACAGGCTATGGGACACTGCCAGGAACACACGCTATGGAACACTGCATGGAACACAGCCTATGGGACACTGCCAGGAACACAGCCTATGGGGACACTGCCAGGAACACAGCCTATGGGACACTGCCAGGAACACAGGCTATGGGACACTGCCAGGAACACAGGCTATGGGACACTGCCAGAACACAGGCTATGGACACTGCCAGGAACACAGCCTATGGGACACTGCAGGAACACAGGCTATGGACACTGCCAGGAAACACAGCCTATGGGACACTGCCAGGAACACAGGCTATGGGACACTGCAGGAACACAGCCTATGGACACTGCAGGAACACAGGCTATGGGACACTGCCAGGAACACGGGCTATGGGACACTGCCAGGAACACAGGCTATGGGACACTGCCAGGAACACAGGCTATGGGACACTGCCAGGAACACAGGCTATGGGACACTGCCAGGAACACAGCCTATGGGACACTGCCAGGAACACAGTCTATGGGACACTGCCAGGAACACAGGCTAT